GCAGCAGTAGCAGCACTAGTAGTAGTACCATCATATAATTGCCCTATAATGTCCCTAAATTGTCCCGTAACTTAATGTCCCTGCTTAATCCTGCAGATGTTTTGCATAATTGGGAATGGCAAGCCCATAGCGCAAGGTCCGCGGAGATTCAAGGACAATTACGAAGCGCACGCTCCAATCGTGTGGAGTACAGCCAAAAAGTGCAATTTGTGTGATGGCTATTTATCATGATATTATTAGAAAGTTCATACTATATCATAGACTGGAATTTTTCCTATATTATAGCCCTGAACTATCTACCCCTATGAATAAAACTTCCCCCAAGCACTATGGCCCCGTGCTGCAAATTGCGCCGGCCTGTGGAAGCTGTCAGGGCAAAAACAAGCCCCAGGGCATAGCCGATTTTCTCCTGAGGACCAGAGGAAAGGCCGAATGCACGAATCTAACATCGACGGCAGACATGAAGCTCCGCAAATAGGGACATCTCAAGGATATTGTTTGGATTGTATCGGGCTATCCTTGGGGCATTTGATAGGGACATTCCAGGCTTATGGAAAGGTGTGCTGGGATTGCTATCTCACTGAGGCAAACTTTCAGAACCATTCCCTTCAAGCCGACAGGTATTTGCACAGAAAACATGTGCTCAAGTGTGCAGGGCTCCGGCATCTATTAAACAATGCACGTGGAAAAACAGTGGACGCTAAAAGTCCTGAATTTCCCGAAGTACCTTTTACCTTGTGAATTATGGTCAGAATTAATACTAACGCTACGACAATATTTGGAACCTTAGCCGAGCAACTGGCGTCCAGCCGTACTGTTCCTCCAGAAGCAAGGCTGTTGCCACCTGCGAACTCTTGTCAAAAGTAGTGCCTTCCGAGACCTGGCTGGAACCTGCCCACCTGTCCCATCATCATGGTGTTGCCCCTCACTGCGAGCTTTGAATTGGGTATTGAGCCTGTGGGACCATGAAGGGAGATGTCCCAAATTATTGGAGCCTAGGACCATAGTTCGAGACACGGGCACAGGATGCAAGAAGGACGGGGTGGACTACATCTCTCCGCATCTTTCTAGACAGCTCTAGACATGCCAGAGCTACACTGCATGATGACATTGCAGGCTTGAAGCATGAAGTTTCAGAAAACCAAGTGAAGGCCAGGCTGAGCAATCACAACCTGCAAATTTTCCTAGAGCAGTTCCGCCACATTCTCTGCACATGTCTGCAAAATGCGCAGCTGCGTCCTTTGGAAAACCCTTTTGGCAACCTTGCACAAGTCCTGTTCCCACAAATACACCTTGGGGAGACCTGTTCGATTGGGCTGATATTCAGCTGATCCGGGTTTGCCGGCCACCCTCCTATGACATACGCACCTCAATGGCAGAAATGCCCAGAGAGCGTCCAGCAGAGAACCTGAAGGCGCTTCGGAAGATGCTGCAAAGCGCAACGTAAAACGTTAGCATAAAAAGAAGAAAGTCACACCATGTGAGATTCTGCACATGTCTCGACAATGCACTAGGCTCTTAAGGCGTACGTGGACTGGGCCTGACCCCGCACAAGTTTTGCTCACATCGCCGCCGGGCTGCATGATGGTCAAACCGACCAAGGCTTTCCGCAGCCAAATGGGCAATTCCTCTGGAGGACCCCCAGGCAAGCTGGGCAGCCCCCAAAAGGGACTCTTTACGCAAAGCCACGTACGAGTACCAGTCTACACAGCAACTGCGCCATATCCTCAAAGCTGAAACAATTGCATGGAAAATCCCCCACAAGCGCCAGCGCAGGTGTCCTGGACAATCTGGGCTTCAACTCGGTCCTGTTCTCTGGCGTTGCTGTCGTCATTGGAGCCTCCGAGACCACGACTCGGATGAAGTGATTGGAAAGACTGATGCCAAGCCAAGCCCTGAAGATGCTGCGAGCTAACTGAAGGCTCTGGCCCTGCGCCCTGAGTGCCGAACAAAAGTTTAGAACGATGTGCGGGGTTTGTCCAGCTTTCAGCTATCACAAGACGAGAGAAGTTCGTCGCAGCGTGCATGTTAAGGCCTTTGCAAAGGCCTGAATGTTGGGTTTAGCCCAAAACCTTCAACTACTTCAACAAGTTCCTCATGGCTAAGTGCGAGAAGACATCAACAACTTTAGATATGCAGGCGCAAAATCTTTCCCCTCTCCCTTACTGCAGCAGCTACTACTACAGAACGTTGCGGCCTGGCGGTGTGTATTTGTGGGGTTCAGGCTTTCCAAAAAAGGCAGGGTTGCGGCGTAACACACTCCAGAGCGTTGCCTCTAGTCAGCTTTTCGGGTGATGTTTGTGCCTTTTGAAAGGGGCCTTACTCCAATATGGTCCCAATATATTCTTGTGTGAAGCCAATGTAATCCCGCCATAGTACACTAGTACCCTTGTACCCTTCACCCTCAGAACCCTAAACCCTAAACAGCAAACCCTTCACCCTCAACCATAACCTGTTGTGCCTTCCAGCTCCTGTGGTAGCGCCCACCATGCCAGCAGGGTCTCGCAAGACCAGAGCATGGCCATCCTGAGTTGAAGACATGAGAGTTTAGGGGTATAGAGTTTGGGGTT